CCGCCTCCCCTCCGGCGGAGGGCCCTCAGCGAGCCGTGCGCTGCCACCTGCCGCTTCCCCTCCGGCAGAGGGGAGGGCGCTGCTGCTGCCCGCTGTCGGCGTAGAGGGAGAGGGGAAGGGGAGGAGGGGATCGGAGGAGAGGGGTGGACGAGGAGGGGATAAGGAAGAAGGCGTGCACGCGGTTGCCGATGCTGAGGAGATAAGTAAGAGAGAGAGAGAGAGCAAGAGATGTCGGGATTAAAGATATGATCTTTAGTCCCGATTCGTGATACCAACTGAGACTAAAGTTCGTTGGGGGCCTGACAGCTATTGAACCGGGACTAAAAATTATCTTTAGTCCCAGTTGGTGTTACTGATCGGGACTAAAGATCAAAAAGTACCGCTGGGCTTTTGAACCGGGACTAAAGATCCTTTAGTCCCGGTTCCTATTCAAACCGGGACGAATGTGATTTTTGCCATCCGGGCAAAGATCGGTTCTCCAGTAGTGGAATATCGTCAGTGAATTTTCACAAATAGGTATTTTTTTAGTCCGCTTGTAAAACTAAAGGGGTATTCACAAAAATCATTTTGTACTAGTGTGATAGCCCAAGATGGGTATACAGTTTCATATCTAGAAATTATTAAATTTCAGAAAAATAAAAACTAAATGAAAAAGCTCATGGTGTTTTCAGTGGTATGTTTTAGTTAATTCTGAGTGAAATAAACATAAGTAAAAAACTAAAGAAATCATTGTATTTCCAATGGCATGTTATAGGACAGAGTATATCCAAGGTCCCTAGGCAATACTATGGAAAAGCATATTGGTGTCGATGGAGAAATCCTCATAGTTTCTAGATTTTAATTTCCAGCCGGCACCCCTTAGGCGGGTTGATGACAAACATCATCGGTGCCAGTTACACAACTAACACCTATAGTGTTTATAGATGCCGGTTATAAGTGTCCAAACCAACACCAATGATTCCTAAGAACAGGCACCGATGCCCCCGGAGGCACTAAAGAAGTTATTAGCCGGCTCAATTACTACAATTGCACAAACTAAATCCTAATCACAAGTGCTATCGTATCAGTTCATCACATCCCAGAATCCCATGTTCATTCATTCACAAGTGAACAGAAGAAAAATCACAAATCTAACTTAAAACAAAAAAAAAAAATCAAATTTGGCTACCCTACAATCACATCTCAAACAACCACTGTGGATAGACCGGTCATCCCCTTCACTGCAATCGGCAACGGAGAGTGGTGAACGATGTATTCCCTCCGTACGTGCTCAGCCATTCAACTAAACTATAGGTCTATGCGTAGGCGAGTGTGTTCGTGGTGATGAAAATTATGGCGATCGGGGCTCTAATTGTTGTTGTGGCAGCCGACCCGACTTTACCAATCTTTGTATATGTTGGATTGACTGCATTCCCAGTACCTCCCACACCCCTAGACATACCTAGTTCGATCGATCAAGCTTAGCTCTAATCAGGTCTTTACTGTGTATCATATCTTGTGTGTGCTATATGTTTTGGAATACAGGCAAAGTACATGAATGTTCGTTGTGTTTGGGGTCCTTGAGCATGGCCTCTCAACACCAGCACCGACCTTCGACTCGGCCCCCTCGCTAAGTACAATCATGTTATCAGCTTTACCAATTGTCCAGTGGATTATACGGAAATCCAATGTATCTCTAACAGCTCCATTTCCAATGCCCACTATTCCAATGTTAATTAAACGATGAAGCTAGCTATAGTATTACGTCATGAACAACATGAACTCTAACTTGCAAAAGGCATGCTGCACATGGCAAGATAGAGCTTGTTGTGGCCCTCCTTTAACACTTGCATATCTTAGAAATTAATTCTCTTGAAACTATTTCATCGTATAGTGAGGGGTGTGTAACAAGGAGAGGTAGACTATATATGTTTCTGGATATAGTTTGACGGTGTTTTTCGATTAGCTTTAGGGCATCTAAAAATGATGAGAAATAAGCACAGACAGGAGTTAGGCGCATGAACTGCACCAACTACTAATGATCTAGTTGATGTATGGATGTAAAAATGGGACAACATTTAGAGCACATCAGTAAATTGATTTTCGTAAGAGGGCCTAGGCCGAACACTGCTAGGGAACTTATCTTTAATCTCAGTTTGTAACCCCTTTTGTCCCGGGTTACAAACCGGAACATCCAATCCGGGACTAAGTTGAAATAATCGGGACTATAGGTCTATGCGTAGGCGAGTGTGTTCGTAGTGACGAAAATTATGACGATCGGGGCTCTAATCGTTGTTGTGTCAGCCGACCCGACTCCACCAATTTTTGTATATATTGGATCGACTGCACTCCCAGTAACTCCCACCCATAGACCCAGTTTGATCGATCAAGCTAGCTCTAATCAGGTCTTTACTGTGTATCATATCTTGTGTGCTACATGTTTTGGAATGCAGGCAAAGTACATGTATGTTCGTTGTGTTTGGGGTCCTTGAGCACGGGATGCATAGATCATTTATATAGGTGCAGGTATGGATAACTGACTTGTAGAGACTAAATCGAATTCCATTATTGAAAAAAAAAGCATGGACATCTCACTAAATTAACCTTTGCCTACCTCGCAAAAAAAACAATTTAATTAACTTTTTCTAGCTGAAACAAGATTGGGGCTAACAATGTGAGCGGAACTGAGCCCTTATAACCTGCCCTTTTTATTGCATTGGATCGAGCCATAAATGCAATCTTTTCCACTCGCCTTGAGTCACCATAACCTCCGCACAATTGTTATATACTTACCCCTCCTATCCTCTCCTCCCAAATATTAGAATAGCAAATTTGTACGCAGGCCATTTTGATTTGGAACCCTATTACAATTTAATTGTTGGTAGGGGTAACAAAACAAACACCTCCGTTAAAACATTGATTTGCCAAAATATTGATGTTGTCCACAATTCTTATAGGCACACTCCAAACCTACCTTTTCAACTCTATCTTACTAAAATTTTGATAGTACCAAATCTTACCCAAACTTTGACATTACCAAAGCTGTGGTAGGACATCAAACTAAAAGTCTCCGTAGTTACATATGTTCAAAGTCTAGTGGATGACGAAAAAGACAGACTAGCTAGCAATAATAGACATGCATATATATTAGAGCTTGTTCGCTTCATCAAACCGGGACTGAGTGGCATCACGAGTGCGGCTAACAAGATATTCGAATAGCATGGATTGGAATGGCCAGCAAGATGGTTTGGACAATTCTTTCACCTATGGGGACGTTCTATATCAAGCCCATGCTCCTCCTCTGTACTAGCTAGCATGAATTGCATATCGATCAAAAAATAGAGGGACTAGTTTTCAATCTGTCATATAGAAGCACCAATCTCAATGCTCAAACCATCAAAAACTTCTTGGCCTTATGAGCAGGGTGGGGTTGGAATTGCTCCCTTACTCACGTCCTGTGTAGCTAAGTTTCAAGTTTTCAACGTTACTGGATCAGTTTCTTCTACCATTATTATTTCAACCCTATGTATGAAAAACTATTTGCTACTATAAATTCTATTAGATTATTCATTCTAAAGATGACAAAATCTTTTATAACAAAATTTGATTTTTTTGTTAGATAATTATAACAAAATTTGGTTATTGATGAATGTCCACTAATATTTTTTTTCAACAATATCTGCATGTACAATTTTTGCGCATAACTTTCTATATATAAACTTTATGCATGCAAATTATTTATGTACAAACAATTGAGAAAAAAAACCATATGAAAAGTTGTCGTTATTTTCAGTCCACAAATCATAGAGGCTAAGATCAAATTTGACGTTAATATTCGGTCCAAAGGCTAAAGATCAAAATCGGTGTTATTTAGATCCACAAATGATCATGGAGGATAGATTCAAGGCATTGCTGCATGCATGCTTGATTCTTTGAGGGCATTCATAGGCAACCCGGAAAGCCTGTAACAAAAATCAGATTTAATGCCACGCGCTAAAAAAAAGAAGAAGGAAAGGCCGGTGATCACGCGCGACTCCCTGATTGATGCTCGGGTGATCGCTAAGAGAGCCCGCAATGGTAAAGTAAGGTGCTATTTATAAAACATGTACATCTCAGCAATAGACTAGATTAATAGTAAACCACTTCAATGGTATGTCTACATGGGTATCTATAGCTCTCTAATCCATTGCCTTATTTTTCTCTATAGACTATCTCCATGTTAGTAGATAGCTTTGCTCTCTCTCTTCATTTAATCTCTTCCAAATAGGAAAATATGCTGACATGGATCTCTTATAGAGAGCTTATAGATAACTATTGTGGGTGCCCTAACTAGCCTTTTCGTTATGAACGGTTAACGAAATAATCCATTTAGAGCAAATTTAATAGTATAACTAACTACTAGCTCCAATTTATCTATAGCCAATCTAATAACTCATTCATACAATAGTTACATACTACACTATTAATACCTGGTCCCAACTGTCATACATACATCGCATCTTGGAGTCCGTGTTGCAGCTGGCTATAAATCTATAGCCCGCTCCTCTTCTCTCTCCTTATTTATTTCCTTAAAATATGTTTGCAGTTGGTTTATAGCTTGCTATTGTACCTACTCTTATCCTGACTGGAACGGCGGCGGCGGCTCCTTGGGTTCGCTATCGGAAACGAGAGTGCCTCAACGCACTCACGAATAGTCCCGGCCGGCAAGGGGCAAATGTATTTCCAACCTTGTGTTAAAATGTCCAGTTTTACTCTTCCACTTTTATATTTTACTCGCTCCGTCCGAAAATATAAGCACTTTTTAACTTCGACACAGTCTTCGAGATGCTTCTTTAACTAACAATACCTATAAAAGTAAGATGGTTTAAATAAAAAGAGTTGCATATTAGGATAATTTATTTAATGATAAATCTAACATCAAATTTACATGATTGATTATTTTTAATTTCTTTTTGCTATTAGTAGTCAAGATTTAAAAACTTGGCACTATTCTAAAAATACTTATATTTTGAGACGGGGGAGGACTAGTTATGTGGAGCTAACAGTGGGCGGTGGTGGTATAGCACCGCCGCATGGAACAACTAAGGGAGTAAAGATTAGACAATTATACCCCTTCTTAGTTTGGACCAACGGGCGCTCTCATCTTGTGCTCGGTGAGGGGCAGAAGGCGGATTTTGCACTAGGCCCCCTCTGCAACCTCCATCCTCAACAATCGTGCTCAACTCTCCAAACTCTGTCCGGCATGGCCTCTCGGCACCAGCAGCGGCCTACGGCTCAGCTCACTCACTAAGCACGAAATTATGTTATTAGTTGTGCCAGGTTTCAAGGGGATCCTACATGAATTCTCCCTCTGCGTAACAGCTACATTTCCGACGCCTACTATTCCCATGTTAAAATGGAGCTAGTATTATGTCGAGTACTCTATAAACTCTTGCCCCTCGTTTTACCACTTGTAAGTTGTATCTCTGCATATCCTCTCTGGTTTTTTTTTTAATCAAGCATATCCTTTTTTTGAAATCTGTTTCATCGTATAGTGTGGGTTGTGTAACAAGGAGAGGATTTGGGCAGTGGCTCTGATATGGAGTATATAGCTTCAGGGGGTTTCGGCTAGCTTCAAAGGATCTGAAAAAAATGATGAGAAATAAGCACAGATGGGAGATAAAGGTGCATGATCTAATCGCACCAACTGCATATTAATCAGCTAGCTGATGGATAGATGTAAAGACGAGACAATATTTCCACCGATCTAAGTAGGTGGTACTAGAGCCTGAAATCTGGGCATCTAATTAAATGAAAATTGATCTTGAGATCTTTGAGGTGTTATTACCGATTGCAAATTAGTAGGTTTTTCATGCAAAAAATAATAATATCAGGGAACAAAGAGATGTTCCATGTAAAAAGAAAAAAGGTTTAAACAAGACAAGTCTTTTTCTTGCTACTGCTCAATGATAGATTGAACAGAGAACAAATATGCTGAGAAGGAAAAAAAATTGTGAGGCTGGATTGCAATTGTGTTATGTGTGATCTTAATCAAGAAGAAACTCTTGAACACATCTTATTCAGGTTCCCTTTTGCACAGCAATGCTGGGATCTCTGGCTCTCTGCCCTACAAGATTGAGGAATGTATCAGTCCAAGAGGCACTTGAAGATTTGAGAATCAAGTTGCAAGTCCCCTTCTATATGGAACTCATAATCGCAATGGCATGGAGCTTTTGGCTACCAAGAAACAACAAAATCTTTAGAAACATCACTCCCCATTTCTCAGTCTGTCAAGATCGTTTTAGTCAAGAATTTACGATGGTTATTTTTTTTGAGGAGAACGACGGCAGGAGATCTGCCGGAATTTAACATTAGAAGAGAAAAATTACAAAGTAGCACAGAGATTCAGAGGTTACAAGCCAAGGAATGGAAAGAGAATTACAGCTGCAGGAAAAGCTAAAAAAAATTCATGGGGGTTTAAAGGCCAAGCTGCGCATATCAATAGCTTGCTTGATAAAATAAGCTACTTCAATCTCTGAACAGGAAGAGTTTTGGAAAATTCTTCTATTTCTTTCCAACCAAATATTCCACCAAGTAGTTAGAAGAGTTCCTCTGACCAGCTGCACATCCTTCTTAGAGCCTGCAAATTTGGTTCTAGACCACCATGTTGACACATCCAGGACAGGATTTATTCCGACCGAAGACAAGTTTTGGAATTGACAAATTAGGGTCCACACTTTTCTGACAAACACACAGTAACTGAACAAATGATTTGTATCTTCAAAGGCACAACCACAAAGGCAACATATCCAATTGCAAGGCCAATGCCTGCGGAGCAGATTTTGGGCAGTCAAAGTTTTTTGATGGAGAACTAGCCAACCAAAGAATTTTATTTTTGGTTCAGTCGGGGATTTCCATAGAGAATCAAACTCATTGGTGGCAAATGAGCCTTCGAACTGGAAAAGGTAAGCACTCTTTGTTGTGTAGACGCCAGACTCGGTCCAATTCAAGGTGATGTTGTCAGGATCCTGGGAAAGCGAAACCAGTTGGAGTAATCCACCAAGCTGTACCAAATCATGGATTTGTTCCACGGAAGTGAATTGTCTGAAGGAAGTGAGCCATCTATTATCTCGCATTTCCATCTGAACTGATCTTTGCTTTCTCTTTGCCAGGCTAAAACAACTGGGCACAATATCTTTTAAACAACGGTTTTGGATCCAATTATCATGCCAGAAGCTAGTTTTTGCTCCGTCACCAATCGTTATTGTCGTTGCCGCTTGAAAGAGTCTTGTGTCCATCTCATCACAAGGCACATTCATGCCTACCCAGGGTTTATCAACTTCTTTCCACTTGAACCAGAGCCAGCGGAGTCGGAGTGCTCTAGAGAACCTGTCCAGATCCGGAAGGCCTAACCCTCCTAAGCTTTTCGGTTTGCAAACAGTTTGCCAATTGACTAGACTATCACTTGGATTTGAATGATCAGGGTCTTCGCCCTTCCACAGAAAAGATCTTCTGAAACGGTCGATTCTTTTGAAGACCCATTTTGGCGCATGAAGGACTGTAAGATGATGCATCGGCATAGCACTAAGAACCGAGTTAACTAGGGTTTGGTGACCTGCAGAGGTAAAGAAGCGACCTTTCCAAGCTGGTAGTCTGGCCCCGATCTTGTCTATAAGAGGAAGGAAATCAATTTTCCTTAATTTCCTGAAGTGGAGCGGGAGGCCTAGGTAGCGGCAAGGGAAATTCTTGATCTGCCCTGGCCAACCGGCAAGAAGCTGTTGCATGTCGATTCCATTGCAACTGATGGGGAAAATCTCAGTTTTGTTGATGTTAGAATGTAAACCAGAAATTTGTGCAAAACACGAAAGGATGCGAGAAAGAGCATTCAGGTCATCGGGATTTGGGAGAGCAAAAACTGCCACATCATCCACGTAGAGAGAACATCTGAATATGCCACTTCTCACACCAATCAGGGCTAACACATTGGCACTCTCCGCTGCTTTAATGATCCGGTGAAAAGGCTCCATAGCTACAATAAACAACATCGGGGACAGGGGATCTCCCTGACGGAGTCCCTTAGCATGATTAATTCTCATCCCTGGGGAACCATTTAGGAGCACCTGGGACGAGGAGGTGGAAAACAGATTAGAGATCCAATTTAACCAATGATGTCCAAAGCCGAAATGACGAAGGACCTCCAGGAGATATGGCCAATTCACAGTGTCGAATGCCTTTGCTATGTCTATCTTAATGAATAGACTCTGTTTTTTTGATCTATGAAGCATCTGCACCATGTTTTGGACGTACAGAAAATTGTCATGAATTGCCCTTTTATGAACAAAAGCACTTTGATTTTGTGAGATCATTTCATTTAGTCGAGGAGCAAGTCTATTTGCCAAAATTTTGGTGATAATCTTGACGAAGCTATGCATGAGACTAATGGGACGGAAGTGATCAGCGCCTGTAGCATCATCTTTTTTAGGGATAAGGCAAATAAAGGCTGGGTTCAGTTCTGCAAGTTGAGAAGTGTTGAGATGCATAAAGGATAAAATTGTTGTGAGGAGATCATCTTTCACCGTGGTCCAAGCGGTTTTGAAAAATGCCCCAATGAAGCCGTCGGGACCAGGCGCCTTTTCAGGGGGCAAATCAAAAATTATGGATTTTAATTCTTCCTCCGTAATATCTTCTTCTAGCTCATTAAGGTCCAACGAAGGTAAATGTAATAAATGTAATAGAGACCAATTTAGACTTAAAGTTCTTTGGAAATTGGTCCCCAATCTCTCCTTGAAAAATCTAAAAAGTTCTTCTTCCTTGTCTTGTGCCGAAACAGCCACTCCTGACGGGGTTTGAAGCGAATGAATGTAGTTTTTCCTTCTTCTTGTGTTTGCTTTGATGTGGAAGAATTTGGAATTTACGATGGTTATCTATAGAGCAAAAGCTATATATCTTCCTCTTATCTCACGATGGCTAAACAACTTGTAAATAACTCTGTTTTTTTTCCCTACAGTTTTGTTGATATTTATAACATTGCACCGTAGGAATGTTTCATACAGTATTTGCGTTAAAGAAAGTGCTACCAAGAAAATCTATTATGAGAAAAGGAGTGAAACACCCTTGAGCAGCTAGCTAGCGCTATACTGCTGTAGTGCTCTTCACTTATTCCCTGATTTCCAGAACCAAAACGGCAAAACCCTGGTTCCAGATTTTCATCGAAAACAAGAAGCTGTTCTGCTCAAGGCAATTTCATACGAGCACCACTCACAGGTCACACAATCTTGGATTCTTGGTGCAGCAAGTTTAGTTCAGAATCTTCAGAACAGTACATCCTGTTCAGAACAGTACATCTTTGGTCGCTCACTTCGCCTTCGATGGCTCCGGCAGGAATGGATGGATGAAGATAAACCATGGAAGGGCTCAAATCTACCATGTGATGAGACCGATAAGCAACTCTTCAGGGCCTCAACGATCATATCCTTAGGGAACGGAGGAAAAGCCAAATTCTGGCATGACAGGTGGCTACAGGGATCCTCACCAAAGGAATTAACGCCTTCCCTCTACTAGTTGGTGACTAGAAAAAACAGAACAGTAGCACAGGAGTTACAGGATAACAGATGGCTTAGACCTATGAGGAGGATGAACTCGACTACCCAAGTAAGAGAGTTCATTCTCCTTTGGGGTTTAATCCAACAAGTCCACCTGGATGAAAGCGCAACAGACTCCATCACCTGGAAATGGACGCCGAATGGGGCATACTCAGCTAGCTCGGCATACAAAATCCAATTCCTAGGTAGCATACAGGACAACAGAGCAAATTTCTTCTGGAAGGCAAAGACAGAAAACAAATGTAGGTTTTTCGCTTGGCTTATGGTACATAAAAAAAAATCCTAACCTCTGACAAACTCCAGCTAAGGGGATGGGATAACAGCCCGATATGCTCCCTATGCGGCATTGAACTCGAGACGGCTAGGCACCTTATCATGGAATGTGCTTTCGCAAAGCAGGTTTGGAGCTCAATTTGGTCCAAGCTGGGCCTACAAATGCCGACCACAAGCCTCTTCAATGGAGATATCTTGGCATGGTGGGATTCTTGTAGGAAAAAAATTGTCAAAGAGCAAAGGCGAAACCTAGATGGCCTCATCATTTACACGACATGGGGAATTTGGTTGCAAAGAAACAGCAGGATCTTTCATGGCACCTACAACACGGTCTCACAAGTGGTGGAGTCAATTATACAATTGTGCAAGTCCTTTGATGAAGCTCATGTCACTTAGATGATTTTCAGACGTATTTTGATGCTTGTTGCCTTACATTCCCTAAAAATTGCCTGTCTTCCCCGCCAAATGTCGACGGGATCTAGACCCATTAACTTGTTAGGGGTTGTTTGTACTCTTGCTTTCTCTCCTTAAATGAAATTGGCAGAGCTCATGCCCTTTCCCCTCAAAAAAAATTGTGTTGTTCCTGATCTTTTTCAATTCCACCATGTGCAGTCTAGCTATCCTCACATTCTGCTTCATTGCACTTCAATCCAATGAGCAACATTTACCGAAACATATAGACAGATCACCCCCCTCAACTTCCAAAGTTCACATGCACAATTGTTCCTTAGATAGAGCATGTTATATGCTTCATATTTAATTTTCTCCCAAATTAATTTTTCAATTCCACAAGATTAACTGCATCACTGGACAACGTGCATCAGCCAAATTGGAGGAAGAATTGAATAGCTTGGCGCTCATCACCGAAATACAACCACGAATTTGTCCCCGTGTTTTCTGGCCGACGTCTTCGCCTAGCAATCCTATGCGTGCCAAGCCACATCCCACATCTGTTCAAGTTCATCCCAGAACAAGGCCAGTCGCCGGCGGTCCAAAGATTGATGTCATGGCAGAAGACCGGAGCGACGGCCAAAGCTCTGGGAAGCTGTCCAACGATTGATGCCATGGCAGAAGACCGACGTGTGCGCTTCTTTATCTGCTCTAGCGTCGAGTGAGATGTCGCAAGGATGATAAGCACTAGGCCACTCTACGGGGTCCCGTTCTGTGCTCAAAGAATCCCATCAGTTTGGCACGGCGAGACGTCTGGCTGAAGCCTTTTAGTCTGGTTGAGCTGATACTTTGATTCCCAGCGCCTCCTAGTCCCATTAATATTAGAATAACATTGTGTGTACACTCTCATCTTTCTTCTCTTCATGTCATCTACTATGGATTTTCTTGTATCCTATGTGTTGAAACAAATTATCCCAACGAGATAAGGACCCTCCTCTTTGTGAGAGGGAGTCATTGCTAGTGTAGAGTAGGGAGGAGAGGGGGAAACTGAAGATGACAGTGGATTGAGTATAGAATGAATGGAGATCTCCACCTTTACCTCTCGGGGTTCTTTTTATTCATATGTAACGAGAAATTACATAATTGCCCTTAACTCTATTCTGTACATTAGAGTGGCATTGTTCTAGAAACATTTTAGTCCGTTATATATACTAGAGTGAGCTCGCGCGCTACGCTGCGCGGTATTGTAGCATGTAAGACTGTAACACATAGAAAGAAATATACGATTAATGCAAAGGTTTGTCTAAGTGGATTACCTACTAACAATACTCAATTCCTAGTGTACCTACCAAGAACATTATTTAACCTGAATAGTTTTTTTAATAACTTAAGTTCCCAGAAACAGTTCTAGATAGTTAATAATTTAAAAAATAATTTCACAATAATTTCACAATACATAGCAGGGATGACAAGCATACTATGATTCATCCAATATCTATGGGCACAAGATGCAATTCGTTCTGTCAACTAACTGAAAAAGGTACATGGTTAAATTTCTCGTAATTTTGTTTGCGAGAACTGCAGTATTAAGATAATACCTGTAAACTCTAGAACTGGCCAAAAACCCAGTCAGATGAGACAACAGTAGTGCATTTATCAATTATGGTATGAAAAAACGACTACATTTCAGATTCATTAGTTTTACGAAGAGACTTGACTCTTCACTATGAGAGCTTTCTGTGCAAGAAACATATCTGCCTCAGCAATTTAGTCAATTTAGATCACCAAATGCAATGGCAATCATCTGCTAAAATCATTTCTTGAACACTAAGAAAAATATGTGCCAAGTTAAATCATTCTTAAGTTAATAGTTTGGAGAATTAACTCAGCATATTGAAAGATGTTACTAAGTCAGTAGAACTCAAAGTTTGGAGAATTAAGTCAGCACATGGAGAGATGTTACCGAGACAGTAGAAGAAACGTCAAATTAATGAACAAATCCTCATTTCAGTCAATGTTATGTTACTAATCAAAGCAGTGGACTCTTAAAACAGCCATGTAAAGGAACTTAAATATAAAGGTTCCTGAAAAGAGACATCTAAATGCAACAAGTAATGTATCCACTGTGAATCAATGGACGATGTAAATGTAAGAAACAAATATACATCACCTACCAAACTAGTATGAGAGTCTTGAATATTTGTATTTTTCTCTTAGATGCCCCTCGTATTCTAGTATAGCTAAGGCAGTTGTTGTTGACAAAGATGATGGATCTACCTGCCTTACAGTATTTCGAAAAGAAAAGATCATCATGGTTAACACATGTGTAGGGATAATTCCATAGGTATTTCAAATGGTTTTCCAGCTAAGCATGAGCTTCAATCTTGTTACAGTCCTTGAGGAGAATCTATATGATATTATGAAATATAAAAAAGTGAGTGAAGTACATCAATTATGCAAGTGAGAAAAAGCAGTAACTACTACATCAGTGCAGGAAACAACAATTATTCAAGTGTGGGATTGAATCATCACTGCAGCATGATTTTTAGCTTGGAAACAGCTTTGGCAGTGTTATGGTGGCAGAACACCAATGTAAGAGCTATATCTGCACAGGCTATGGAGACCATACTGTTTGCGCTTTGCAGCACTCAATTGGCTTAGTTAGTTTGGTGGGCAAAAGAGTTGAATCGGAGTGCTCCAACCTAACACAGCTTAGCCTTCAGAGATGAAGACCACAGCACAGTCTTCAGAGACTAAGATCAGCTCATACAAAAGCATTAATCGTTGCTGCACATGGAGTATTTTTCCTGTATGGTTCAGAAAATTATCAATTGGAGTGCTCTTTCTTTTTTTTTGTCAAAATGGTAATACATATACAACACAACAATTTACTAATTACATATAATCAATGAATAAAAATAAATAATTGGAAGGATTAACTTTTCTTTTCTCTAAGGAGAACATCAGAGAGCAAAGCACATGAAGGATCTCTTCTGCCTATTTACCTTGTATTTGTTTGTCATTTATATGCTGGCAGCTCCATTCCTGAAGATCCATGAGCTGAGCATAGTGGATTGCCCCTCCCAACATTAGCATGAATTATCATGAAGTCTAGCCGTCTGTTTACCTGTATGCTGAAAAACACCAAATAATTTGTTTAAAAAGATTCTGCTAAACTTGTTTCAATCCTAAGCTGGCCACCTTGACCTTTATTTGGAGTTCAGTTTTGGACAACAAAGTAGTGGCATACTGACATGCTTAAAATACAGGAACAGAAAAATGAATAGAATCTCATTCGCAGGAGAGGATGAGAGTAATTGTAACTTCTGTCACCAATCAAAAGTTTAGAACATTAAAAGCCCTAATGGAAGGAACCTATTAATGTGAGAACTCATCCTAATAAAACATCTATGTTGCCAGGGAATCAACAGGTTTCAGGGAAGCTCACCAGTTCCTGTCTTGCCTCATCACATCAACTCTCTTTCCATCAGAGGGTAGAGGAATTGGCTCAGAGTTCAAATTATCAGAAGGCAAAATTAAAAAAATAGAGAGAAATCTCGAGGCACCAATATTCGGAAATGTATTGGGTTCTATCCGAATCTTGAAACGAACTTCGCAAACAAACATCTGATAAATTTAGCCTAAATTCAGAACCACTTGAATCTATGTTAGATGAGAGATAAGAGAAGGGAGACTGTACCGGAGGAGAATAGGTAGATCGTACACCGATTTCTGCCATTGCGGAAATGGCTGCGTCAGCTAGCAACACCGTCGGGCAAGTCGCTGAGGAAGAACTGAAAGATCCACTCCCCGCCCGCCATCTGTGCTAGCAGTGAGCCACCGAGTTGACCTGATGCCGAAGAAGAAGGCGACGTTGCGATGCCATGTGGGACGCCGATGCTGAGGACGGGATGGGGAGTATGTGATGCCATTCAAGCTCGCTGTACGTGCAGCTACAGTGAAGAACAAAAATATTGGGAAGAGATGCGGATGCGGAGAGGACGAGGACGACGAGCGGATGCGGAGAAGTGGAAGGAGCAATGTGGATGGCTCGGCGGGCAGCAAAACCACGTCTCGGTAAGGGTTGGCCGCGCAACTTAGAAGGTAGAAAACAAAAAAACAAATTCAGTTAGCATAGACATGGTCGGAAGAACGTCGACATCACAATGGGAAAACCTAGAGCAAGGCACAACGGGAAAAGATCAGAGCGTACGGGATGATGCGATTAGGGAAAGTACTGTCTCGAAAAAAAAACAGAGGAACACCATATATAGGAAATCAAGCGAACAGACATCCAGTGACATAACCATCTCAGTTTATCTATATACCATAGCACCACACGTGTAATGAACTCAACGTCCATCCCCGTGATAAAACCAGCTGATCTTATATACCTCAGTGAGCAGTAGCTGAGGGAGGCAAAGATGCCCCCCTCCCTCCCCCCAAAACAAGATGCGATGTGGAAGAGACACCAATCCAAGAGCACAGCCTGGAAGGGAAAAAACACCCAAAAAAAACAGTGAGCACACGCATGGCTGGAACAACATTGGCATCGCAATGGGGGAAATCGAGAGCGAGACGCAGCAAGAAAGATCAGAGCAGTAGAGACGATGCGATTAGGGAAACTACCGGTTGAAAATCCCCAAGAACTTAGGGTGTGTTTGGATAATGGGAAATGGGGGTTGGGATTGGGATTGGGAAATGAATGAAGGGTTAGGATTAAATGAAAGAGGGAGAATGAATAGCTAGGATTTAAAGATATCTTTTAATGGATGGGAAAAACAGGGCCTAAGCGGGAGGAGCAAGGAATAGAACCGGCGTCATATATGGAAGAAAGAAGGGAGCGATGCAGATTACCTCCCTTGGTCCTCATGGGGTTCTCTGCGTAGTGGAGCAGCGAGCAGCAGCCAACCCGTTGCCGCCGTACACTATGGCAGAGCAGCAGCCAACCCCATCGCCACTGTACTCCATGGCAGAGCACTACCGTGGAGATTGAGAGAGGGGCCACCATGTGGGGCTGGGCCGCTGGGCGTTGGAGGCGTCCCTGATGGCTGGATAAGGACGACACGCGTCGAGAGGATAGAGGCGACTCGCAGATGGATCAGCGCACAGGAAATCCAGGACGGTGGAAGACCACGGCACCGATGCTGCGATGACCACTAAAAGGCCGTCGACCACTGGGCTAAGAAATCAGTTGGCCCATGGAAGGATAAGCTAGCCTGGTAGCTGATCCACTGTAACCAAACAACGTGGCAAGATTATATTGGATGCCGGTTGCCTAAATCGCCCGGAGACCAGCTAATCCAGCACCTTTAAGATATCTAATATATATTAGACTAGTTAAGACAACACCCTACGAATAGGGTTTATCCCCAAACATTATGCTGGACTTTTTTTCATGTACATTGCTGACATTATGGTAGGCATTCAGAGACTAAAATGTAATCTTCTTCCTGATTAAAAAAAAAAGTTGCGAGCACATGGCGGCCTGGTCTTTTCAGATCATTCATCGGATTATTAAAATCATGATTTGCTACATGCTTTAAGAATATGTTTCGTAAGAAATTTTCTTGTACAGCATTGATTAGACTTGTTAGTTTATTTCTTAAAATATCCAATCTGTTTCTATAATTAAACAGATAATATGTGGTAACAATCTGTTTAATTAATAATGTAAATCAAATTAGAGCCTATGTATCTCAAAGAACTGAGCCTTAACTTCTGGAAACAATCATGAGCTGTACAAGTTTGTCATCTATTTTATTATTTTAATATGATATATGAGAAACAAATTTATTATATTAACATATATTTTATTTCTGATTTTACCCTTACAAAATTTCTACTGCCCGTACTACAGTGATACAGTCAATGTAGTCGATCTAATAGAATTTGATCCATTAGATTCAAAGAAATGGATGGCTCATAACCATTTGAGGGTAGAGTAAACTAAAAATCTCTACAACAGCCAAGGCACCAAATGTATGTCCCTCCTGGTCGATCAGGATATGCAGTGCTCAGCACCAAATGTAACTTGCAGAGTTGTGTTCACTGTCGTCGAGCATACACACACATACATACAGCCATACAGGACAGCGGAGAGCAGAGCGCTCAACTTGATGGCACAAGTACTACCGCAGCCGAGGCTACACACCATGTTAGGCCTTGTTCTTGCTCGTTTAATCCGTCCTACAAGGAAATTGCGGAAGATTCGAAGGGGAATAATTTCACATCTATTCAGGTGTAGAATTAATCTCTCAATCCCCTTCACTTTCACTCTTTTGAGGATGAACCGAACAACCTCTTAGCAACAGGGTTTTAAATGTCCCGCTATAGCTGCCGCTATCTTCCGCTATAGCTGTTTGAGAAGGGTTCTAGCTATTTGTTCTCATATACATTTTAGCCGCTATAGCTCCATTTAGTTCGCTATAGCTACCGATATAGCTGTTTGAGAAGCCAATCGCTAAATGCCTTACCCCGCTATTTAAATCATTGCTTAGCAGGGGGAGAAGCCATGTGTACCCGGTCATCGTAGTGGATGCATGCCATTTCCCCGAACAACGACCAAGCTTGAATAGACTAGCCATCCATCGATCCACGCCATGGAAGAGAGGGCAGAGGAGTAGTGCGCGTACGCTTCCCTTCCAGCGTCCAGCGCGGCTCTTCTGGGATGTCATGCATTGCCACCCAACCAGCTGACAAATACAGCCTAGATGAGCCATTCCCTTGGGCACAACAAGCATCTTACTAGCAGCCGATTGGTTTGGTTTTGGTGGTGCTTCGATTCCCAGTGACTCCTAATCCCCATTGATCATCGACAAAAGATTTGAGTGCTATATATGCACATGTGTGTGTACAAATGTAGTACATGATCAGTGTTTTTTTTTTGCCTTATTTTTCCCCTCTTCTCCTTTCAGGCTGGTGTACTAGAATTTTGTTGGATCGCATGGACTACATGTCTGGTTTGCTTGGTTTCTTATATATTCGGGATGGGAGGAGAGGATCAAATTAAGAGCAGGTATAGGCCACAAGGGTGAGTGATATTGAAAGCTGTGGCAATTAATCAAGGTTTGTCCCAGTACTGTCGTTGTTAGTAACCATTGTATCCGATCAACTGCATTCCTTTTGTCTACTAGACCTAGTTTGATCAAGCGAGCTCTAATTAGGTGTAATTAAGCTATGTGGCACATGTAGTGTGCATATTTGGACTACTGCAGAGTTCAGAGTTCAGAGTGCAGGCTGCAGTGTCATGCACGCACAGTCCTTGGGGTTGGGGAGCTTGGCATAGGCAGTCATTTATAGGAATAAGTTCATCAAACGAATCCGATTTTTGTCTTTAAAGCCCAAAACCAAATACAATATATCTCTTAACTATTAAAACCGGTGTAGATAAGATCCCTCAGCGGTTTAGATGGCAGTTTTGACTGACGTGGTGCATATGTGGCTAATTTGACTGATGTGGTATTGACGTGGCGCTTACGTGGCAATTTCATCCGAAAAAATAATAAACCCCATGGGACCCACATGTCAGTTTCACATATAAATTAATAAAAAAATGGTGGGGCCCATGTGGCCCCACATGTCATTATCACCCCTCCTCTCTCCCCCATCTCCCGTCGTCTTCATCTCTCTCCCATCTCTTCACAGGGCGCAAGCGGCGGCGGCGTCGAGGAGGGCGTCGGCGGCGCGCTCGGCCCCAAGGCGCAAGCGGCCGTGACTGGCGGCAGCGGCGCACGAGCGGGACATCGGCAGCGCATGGGGCCCCATGGCGCAAGCGACCGTGACTGGCGGCGGCGGCGCGGGAGCGGGGCCTCGGCGGCGCACGGGGCCACAGGGCGGAAGCGGCGCCATGGGACGTCTCCTCCGCCTATGCCGCGCGCCTCCCGGAGGTCGTCGTCGGCGCCAAACCGCGAGTCAGACCCGAAGCTGTTGCTCCCATCGAGCCGGCGGAGGAGGAGGGCACGAACACCGGGTAGCCGAACGCGGCGTCCGCCGGCACGCACCGCGCACACCCCGTCAGCCCCCTCACGTACATGTCCCACGCCCTCCCCACTCCCCAGTGCCCTCGCCGGCGCCCTCCACATCCAGCTCAGCCTGCTCCCCCTGCTCATGATGGTTGTTTGGTTTGGGTTGGGTTGAAGACGATGGATTTTGGTTGGAGACGTGGAGCTCTCACCGGTGAAGGGTAGGGCTGCCTCTTATACAAAACAATGGTGGTAGCAGCCAAAGCAAGTGGATGGGCTGGTCGGCTGGAGATCGTTGAGGTGGCCACCGGCGAGCGGCTGTCCCGCTGGCTTCGCGCGCCGCCGCTCCGGCCACCGTCGCCCCACTCCACCCGCCGTCCCAGTCCACCTGCTTTGCCTTGCCTCTGCTCTGCTCCCTCCAAACTCCAAATTAACAGAGAGAGGCTCTCCGCTTTGGAAATTTTGGAGGGGATGGAGCTCCATCACCATGGAAGCAGCAACGTCTGAGGTTAGGTACCTACCATCGTCTCCCCCCTTCCCTCCATGTTAATCTCTAGTATTAGTCAATGCGCATAAATCTTTCTCTTGCCGGAAAGAGTTACCACTGCGATGATGATGATTTTTGGCCTGACTTTTGGTTTCTGCTTCTGTTCTTCATTTTTTTTTCTTATCTCGGTGTGCTTATCTAAGACCCACATTGCCGCTCTTCTCGAATCGCTTTGCTTCTTCCCCACTTTGGATTTGAACTGAATCTTGAGGAGTTTCAGCATTGCAGGAATTGAACCTCCAGAATTCCTGCAGAAACTCAAAACATGCAGGTTCTTGTAGCAAATCAATACAACAGTTCTAGTGAGTTGTCTTTGAATTTGTTCTTCAGGCAAGGCAAGCTGCCGCCCAGACGCCGCCTAGCCGAGCACGGCTGCGCCGACGCCGCCCGCTCCGAGCGCCGCTAGCGGCAGCCGTCCTTCCCCCTGCCGCCAAGCTCCCTCCTCACCGCGCCGGCCTTCTCCCCCATTCGCCTGACGCCGCCTGGCCGCCCTCAGGCCGCTGCCGCGCTGGGCCGACCGGCGCCCGACCGTCGTCGCCACGGCTCGCGCCGCCGTCGCCTCGGCCCGGTCGCCAGGTCGCGCCGCTGCACCGGCCGTCGCTCGCCTCGCCAGTCGCTAGCCCCGCTCCATCGGCCGGAGAGAGAGAGAGAGGAGGGAGGAGTGAGGATGATATGTGGGGCCCACGTGGGTCCCACCATTTTTAATTATTTTATGTGTGGAACTGGCATGTGGGTCCCACGGGTTTATTATTTTTTGGGTCGAATTGCCACTTAAGCGCCACGTCAGTGCCATGTCAGATGAAGACCGAGTCAAATTAGCCACATAGGCGCCACGTCAGCCAAAACTGTCCTCAAAACCGCCGAGGGACCTCATCTGCACCGGTTTTAATAGTTAAGGGACCCGTTGTGTCTAGCGGTTGAGGGACGAAAATCGAATTCGTTGACAAGTTAAGGGACCTTAGATGAACTTATTCCTCATTTATATACTATGTGCATGTCCACGGAGCTACTCTATCCTTTCAGATTATAAGTCATTTTAACTTTGATCGAAATCAAAGTGTTCAAGTTTGATCCATAAAAAAAATAATAACATTCTCAATCCAAGACAAATATATTCAATTATCGATTTAATAGAACTAATCTGGTATTATAAATATACTATGTTTACGTATAAATTTAGTTAAATTTAAAGTAATTTAATTTTAACTAAAATTAAAATAACTTATAATCTGAAAAGGAGGGAGTAGTAATGAATTAATCGAGCGAAACCTTGGTGTAGCTGAACATAATGCAGCTGATCTGGTTAATCTAAGCCCATGTGGTAACTGGGCCTCTTTGTTTCACTGGCTTGAGCCCAGCACAACACAATGCTTATCATTATTCAGCCCAGACGTCCGGCGCACACGCAGGCAGACCAAAGAGCTCTGTATTGACTGCACGTGCATAAAGGAACATTGTGTACACAATTAGCAGGGATAGTTTTTTTTTTTTAATAATGGTGTAAACCCGGCGTTAAAAAGGCAATGTCAAAACAAAAGACAAGAACATATAAAAAGAAAATCGTGGATGAAAAGATATTGTTTAGGACGTAATCCTATTTACTAAATCTCTATCCATAATTAATAAAGATTTTCAGGACTATCGCCTCTAGATTTCGGCATGCCAATTGAAAGTTGTTCTTGTCCTCACAAAATGGCTCCGAAACTTAATGCAGTATGTTCCTCTATAAAGTACTCCCTCTGTTTTTATAATATAAGGGATTTTGAATTTTTGCTTGTAACGTTTGACCACTCGTCTTATTCAAAATTTTTTAAAATTATTATTTATTTTATTTGTGACTTACTTTATTATCTACAATACTTTAAGTACAATTTTTTATTTTTTTATATTTGCAAAAAAAAATTTGAATAAAATGAGTGGTAAAACGTTACAAACAAAAAACTCAAAATCCCTTATATTGTGGGACGGAGGGAGTACCTATATGTAAGATTAAATTAATGGTTTTTGCTATTTCACTTGTGATATACTTTTGTCTCCTATCTTTCACTTTTTATCCGTAGGATCTTGCATCAGGATTCGTATTCTCGTATATTTAACTTATAGTTATAATTAATTACATAGCACTTATACTCAGTTACATAGCACTTACACATAGTTATGTAGCACTTGCATTTAGTTGTAGTGCATTAAAATTAGAATTTAGAACATTTTTTCTTTAGACTTACGATTTTTTACATGCTTATCTTCTTTTTGTTATTTGATTTAAAACGGGCTATATCCCATTGGTTAAAAAATATGTACGATTTGAAGTAGCCCCTTTAATTAATCGGAGAATTGTCAAACACCAAATCATTTGTATTGTTACAAAGAGCCAGGTAGCGGCATGGACAGTTTAGTCCTTCAGGTCTACACACAAGGCCTCTTTGAATCATAGGAGTGAAAAAACAAAGGAATAGAAAAAGCTTTTTAGCTTAGAATCCACTCCAACCAACCAATCTTCAAACATATGAGAAATACTATTACAATTTGGACCACTCTCCACAAAAATTTAGCATAATTTCAATAAGAAAATTATGCAACGACGTTTACTCGGGTTCCAGTTCCGTCTCTAGCTAGATTATCTTTAGTAAAAACAACGCCTTTATGTAAATACTGCATCAAAAATCATGATTTTAAGCAGCGTCTGCAATTTCCACATAGCCCTATTCATCTCTATGTAACCATTATTAATAACTGCTCCATAGCGGACGAGTTATGTTCAAAGTAATCGTAACAAGGGCCACCCGTTTCTTCATTGTCGCACGCTGGCATCCGAACCCAGACTACTCATTCTTGATAATGTAGGATCAAATCATTCCCCATGCATCCTAATCCCAGGGGTCGTTCGATCGAGCTAATAGGTCTAAAATCTGTAAGCTGTGTAGCAATATACATTGTGTATGTCACTTTAGAATGCAGACCAACCTTGGGTGTGTGTATATAATTTATATACAGCTAGTTTTAACTAATTAACCTTTTCTTGCTGAAACGAGATTTTGGCTGATCTGATCTGATCCAATCAGGTGTGGTAACTGGTAACTAGGCCTTTTCATTGCATTGGCTATAGCTCGAGCCCAACACAGCAAAATTGCATATCACCATCATTCAGAACCAGACATATTAACACACTGGCAGAGGAAAGGCCCCTGTCTAGTAGACTGCAACAAACATGCATGAAAGCCATGAAGGCAATAGCTACGCATACTTGCAACAATTTATTTTCCTGGATTGATACGTGCATGAATTAAATGTGCTAGTACAGCCTAAGCACGGTCTTGATGATATATACGGAACGCCCCCCAAATACACATATCTTTCCTACACGGCTACTCTACTGCGAAGTCTACAGGCAGTTCGCTGGTCTCTTTCTACATTGGCGAAAGCAATGGCCAAACCAAAACCATATCGTTTTTTTTTATTTTCTCCTCTTTCGCAGAGCGCTACCTCACACCCCACCTCTTGCAGGGCCCATCTCCTGCGCACATTGACACCAAATCACGAAAAATAAATGGCTCAGATCTTCTAAAAAAAAATCCAAAGTCTCCGTGCAAATATTAGTACTTCTATAGTACTATATGTCTATATGTATGATGCCGTACGACTAGTTTTTTAATTATCACTGTCATCAGCACCCATTACGGAGCACTACATTGTGTTACAGTAATAAGCACTGTAACTGAGCATAAAGCCCAGATGTGTACTAGAGCATCAAATCTCAATTATTTATGGTTCACAGAAACACGGAAAATTTCAGTCGTCGTTGATCTGATCTGATCTCCATGTGAAACTCAAGACTCGTAGCTGACGACCTCGACGCGACGAGAAGCCAAAATCGCAGTCGGTTTTGACAGCGACACCAACAGAAACTTCCAAGTCTGAAACGTAGTGACTGTACCACAGTACAGTTCAGTACTACTCCTAATACTGCAACTTTTCTTGCAAGCGTAGAAGGCAAGAACTATACGTGTGATGGTACTCTCCGAAATGCCAAAATGTCAAGCACGTTGCCATCGCCCAAGCACTGACCTCCCACCACGTACTACAGCCACAATTAAGCGAATTAAGCATACGTACGCCCAATTCCCTGCTCGATAGGGCAACAGATTTAACGCAAAGATAGAGCGTCACATCCGGCATCATATCGGCACTCACTCTTGTAGTGTACTTCTCCAATCAAATTTTCCAGGAAAAAAATATTTCCTTGATATTCTTTTTAACCCAAATCCTATCAAAAGCCATACCTAGCTAGCTAGTAGTACTGTTTGGCAGAATTATTTGGGCAGATGTGGTGGTGTAACGAGGAAGGAAGGATAATTAAGGGCATAACAACAAGGTGGTTTGTCGAATTGTTTGATTAGTCATGAGTGATTTGATTGGCTCACCAACAAACACGTACCAGTGGGAGTAGGGCATGCATAATCATCGGTGGATAACCTCGAGCCATGGCCACCAGCTACCAGACGAGAAATCAAACCCTGTTTGTTTCTAGGTAGAGGTAGCGGCATGGACAGTTGAGTCCTCCAGGCCTACACGCACAGTTGAGTTTCCAGTCAAAAAGCTACAGCCCAGACAAGCAGAGGCAACCATGCAACAAACCAATCATCAGGCAATCTGCAAAAAAAAAACCTGCCTGATAATTGAGGGTTTCAGGTCGTGTTTCATGTCAGCATCCGAAATCCTCAAAGCAAAAAAAGAAACAGGGGAGAACTGCATTATCTGATTTTAGCATAAACTATGATGGAATCGAATTATTCGGTTGGAAGAAAATAATATGCATCGAATTCTGGTGACCAAATTATTCTACTACTAGTGGATTAGCGTAGCAGCTGGAGCTAGCACGGAAATGGACATGAGCTTGGCATCACCAGCTAGCCAATCATACTTTCAGTATGCTAGTATACAAAATCCACCTTTCTTTAATATTTTTGCAAATTTTTTCTTCTCCTTTTTTAGTGCATGGTGGTGTTCACACTTGGCAGAGGCCAAAACCGCAGCATCTGCAACTCGCCATGCGCAGCAACAGTGGCCCAAAATCTCGACATTGACTTCTACCACAGATCCACTGAGCGCATCCCGAGGAAAAAAGCACATGCGATAGCAGTAGTAACAGCATGCAACAGCAGCTCCGCCACTACTATTACTGCGACCGCTAATAATAACAAGCGGTGCAGGAGTAAAACTACTCACAATTTACTACTACTCCTACTCCCGTGGGATCAGTTACCGCACTGTGCACTCGCAATAGTATAAACTGCATAGGCCATTCTATGCTTGGGCTACTCGCCGCCGTTGTCACTGCATCGATCACTTGCTACACTAGTGACCTACTACAGTGTATGCATATGCATGACACTAGTGTGACAGTGTGAAGCAAGAAGGGTCGTCTTTTTCTGGCCAAGAGAGAGAGAGAGAGACCCATGTTTTGCAATTAACATATGTACAATGACACACTAGGGGGATAGCTGTGGGTGCCAAAACCTCAAAAGAATGAGAAAACTACAGCAGGCAGTGAGTGAGGTGCAGTGCAGTGCAGTGCAACTCATGTCATGTGGGCACCATATGCGTATGATGCGTGCAGCAGCCTTCCTTTTCAGCGAGAAAGGCACGCCGCAGCAGCAGCAGCAGCAGCCAACCCCACAAGAGAGCAAGTTATTTAAGAACCTGAGTTAGATAGACTGATAGATACATGCAATGCAGCCAAAGCGGAGCAAAAAAGGGGCAGAGGGGACGAGAAAAAAGAGCAGAGGTAGAACAAGAAAGGGAAGGGAGAGTGTGCCACTACGTGAGAAACCGAGACGAAAGGGTCGCGCCACCAGCCCACCATCCACCGCCACGTGGGACCCACCGCCCGCCCGCAGACGCGAGCAAACGTTCCCTCCACTACTAATTACACGTAGGCAGTACGATCACTCTCCTCCTTCCTAAAGAAAGAGAGAAAGAGATTGATTTTGATTATACTAGTTGGTTAGTCCCATACAAAACACGCCTTAATCCTTAACCACCACCCCTCCCCTCCCGTTAACAAAAAGCTAAAACGCGCAACAGCGACGCACACGCAAAAGCCCAGAGGCAAGTAGCAGCAGCAGTGGTTGCGCGGTGCTGCGTTCGTCTCGGTCTCCGTCTCCGTCGTCTCCGTCCACTGGACAGGGCAGAGGCTGCCTACCAGACACACGCCCTCAACCTCGCGCCCGCCATTATTGCGACCCTCCCGCACGCGTGCGCGCGCGCGTATTATCACGAGGTCCGCGAGCGAGGCGCAGAGCAGAGAGCAGAAGCATCATTTCTAGTCCCCCAGCCCAAGCAACAGTAGCCAGCAAGAACAGAGTAGGGAGGAGGAGGAGGAAGGAGGACGCACCTGGGAGCAGAGCCAGAGCCAGAGCCAGAGCCATGGAGCAGTACGAGGTGGTGGAGCAGATCGGCCGGGGCGCCTACGGCTCCGCATACCTCGTCGTCCACAAGGGCGAGCGCAAGAGGTTCTCCTCCTTCCTCTGCTCCCCTTTCCTCTTCTTCCTTCGTCTTCTTCAGGCTTCCCTGATGCTTCTGTTCTTTCTTGGCTCGATGATGGTGCAGGTACGTGATGAAGAAGATCCGGCTGTCCAAGCAGAACGACAAGTTCCAGCGCACGGCGTACCAGGAGGTAAACCAGATCGAAACCCTCGTTAGTTCTTGTTCATTCCCCACACTTGAGCAAACATGTTGCACCCATGAGTTGTTTGCTGTTGCGTCTGCAAAACCCTTTTGAGATTACCAGAAATTACTGCGCGATGGATTAAAGAAAATAGCTTTTTTTTTTCTTTTCGAGTTCATACCTGATTGAATGTTTGGGAGGACGGGACAGATGGTTTGGTTTGATGATTTGATTTTGATGCTTTGCTTGCTGTTTGCTGCACAGATGTCCCTGATGGCGAGCCTCAGCAACCCGTACATCGTCGAGTACAAGGACGGTTGGGTTGATGAAGTACAAATTCCACGCATTAATTCAGTTCTGGGAGTAATTTGCATTCCTTCGAATCAAGGGTTCTAAAGTTTTGTCCTTTTTTCTCTTCTTCGATGATGGTTGCAGGGGACCTCGGCATGCATTGTGACAAGTTACTGTGAAGGAGGTGACATGTAAGAACCTCTCACATTTTTCACTCTTCACTGCCTCCTAAAATTTTTACCTTCCATTGGTGCTCCAACCTCCAAAGTCACTGACATCGGAATCACAGGGCAGAGAGGATCAAGAAGGCAAGGGGTGTCCTTTTCTCTGAAGAGGTAAGAACACCGTAAGTAGATGAAATGGTGATTTTACCACCTATATCAATGAGCAGTACAAACTGTTCATGGATTGGAAACTTACCGCTGATTTGGTACTTGTATGATCAAAGAGGGTGTGCCGATGGTTCACACAATTGCTCTTGGCCCTTGACTATCTGCACTGCAACCGTGTGCTCCACCGTGACCTCAAGGTAAATGAACATTGTCCCTATCCACACAAGTCGATTCATCAGGTATCAGCATCACCTAACATGCCCTTGGCTCCTGTGCTGTTACAGTGTTCCAACATTTTGTTAACAAAGGATAATAACATCCGTCTTGGTAAGAAATATATATTTCACCATAAATATAAATTACTGCATCTTTCCTTTTTCTTGGATGATAGTGTAGTGACCTGAATATTCATTGTTTCTTGAAAACAGCTGATTTTGGGCTAGCAAAATTGCTCATGGAGGACCTTGCATCGACGGTATGGCTTAAACCTGTGCTATCATGTTGTGTAAATATAACTCGCAAAACACATTTCCAGGTAGCAAAGAATACATAACTATGCAGTTACCTACATAAAGTCACACTAAATCATAACATGTATAAACACCATTCATGTAAACCCTTTTGATTTTGAATAGTGGTTCATAACTAAATTCTTTATGGCTTATGATCTTCAATCGTACTAGCAGAATGCCCGTACTTTGTTACGGAATTCAAAAGAAAAATTGTATGGTATTACATATTCATGTGGGAAAAATTAATGTCTGCATCACGAAATACAATAGCTTTGAACTTTGATTTTTAACTGTATATAATTTTTTTTTCACTTGTCTTATTAATAATCATGAAAAGAGATTGAACAACAAAAATTGGCAAAAAAAAATATGCCCCTTAATTTTATTCTAAAATTAAATATGTAAGTACCCACTTCTCTCTTTAGTTGAAAAAAAAGATGCTTTTATGCTCCCTTCTACTTTGACCTTGAGTACATATGAAGGCCCGCTCGTCATTGATGGCCACCACCATTGCCTTCTTTTATGATGGTATAGATAATGGAATTTTGTTCTAGAAATATGTGATGCCATTTCAGTATAGTTCCGGCAGTGTTATTTCATTTGTATATATTTATTTATAGAATTATATATGAACAGTAGGACACTTTCCTACCTTCTTCATTCAAAATATTGTGACATGTGAATGAACTGATAGGTTCCATTGCCACTCAATGAATTCAACATCTATGTTTTTCAGATTGTGGGAACCCCAAACTACATGTGCCCAGAAATACTAGCAGACATACCTTATGGTTACAAATCTGATATATGGTCACTTGGTGAGTTCCCAGTACAACAGCTTTTGGAGTAATTTTCACGGTTTCTGTTATGATGCTAATCCTTTCCCATCTTTTACCATCAGGATGCTGTATGTTTGAGATCTTAGCACACCGCCCTGCATTCAAAGCTGCAGTAAGTCCTACTACACAATTCAAACGATAAATTACTGTTTACGTATAACATGGTTCATGAAATATCCCCTCTTGTTTTTTAAGGACATGGCATCATTAATTAACAAAATAAACAGATCTTCAATATCTCCAATGCCACCGATATATTCATCATCACTGTGAGTGCCAATATTATTAACTTTTTAATGATTTTCCCATAATATATATCAGAATTTATGCTAAACATGATGCTTTGTTTGGCAGGAAGCAGATAGTGAAGAGCATGCTAAGGAAAAACCCAGAACATAGACCCACTGTAAGTACCACAAACTCAGTTTCACTGTTTCAATCAAAGGCACCGACAGAACACTTCACATTCAAAGTTAAACTGAAAAATTTACAGGCTGGAGAACTATTGAGGCACCCATATTTGCAGCCTTATCTAGCTGAATCATGCAGCTGCTCCCCAATCTACCTTCCAGTGAAGCCCACCAAAAGTAACCTGGGAGACAAGCAGCAGTCAAGAAAACCAGGCAGTGGCAGAAAGCGAATCATCAAAACCAATGGATCCAGTGAAGCATTAGAAACCGCTGCAGAGCAAGCTGTGGATACAAGAGACAACTCCACATATATTTCAGATGTTTCAACAGTTGGTACCCAGGACGCCTGCATTTCACAAGTATCTGTGGATCCTCAAGCTAGAAACAAAGCATATCAAAACATCGATGATTTGACGCTTTTTCAACAGATAGAGGAAAATTTGATGACAATAACCGATCGACAGATTGATGAGGCCATCTTTCTTAAAGCTGTAAGAACCAGCAGCACAGTAGATGTCGTGCCAGTCTCTGGTGCAATTCAGAAGCCTAATGAGGCACCAATACCAAAGGAGGAACTGACCATTGGAGTAGTGCAAGAGCAGAGAAAGGAAGTGAAAGCACACACTCACCAAGGATCAAAACCAGGCACAGGAGACGTTCCCATCGTTACAGAAGAATCATCACCGAAGAGCGCGGTGAAATTGGCACATTCAGATAGCACTCCTGCCGAGTGGGACCATCTGAACATAGTGCAGCAGAGAGCTGACGCACTGGAGTCGCTACTCGAGCTTTGCGCCAAGCTGCTGAAGCAGGAGAGGCTTGAGGAGCTTGCTGGCGTTCTCAGACCGTTTGGGGAAGGTGCTGTGTCGTCCAGAGAGACGGCGATATGGCTGACAAAAAGCCTCATGACCCCACCAAAATTGGAAGGGTCACCAAAACTTACGTAGGGGAGCGAATTTCATGGCTTTGTTTGCAAGTGTGCTGTTCTGGTTCTGAGAGTGTATATAGCTTTGCTACAGTTCATGATTCTGTATCACTGAGGCTCGAGTTTCTATTTATCTTGATGTATATGGTTTGAGTGAGCGAGGGCATTGTGTGAGCTAACTATTTATCAGATATTTACTGTACAATGGCATGTGCTGTTTGGCTGATTCAAGTAATAATGGAAATCATACCATGTTCATTCCTATTTTCTTCCAGCCTTCCTTACTGGAGAACTGTTTATCAATGTGCAGATTTGTTATTACCGACAGGAACTGAATGGGAAGAGGCAATATTAAGGGGATGTTCAGATTGTAGCCAAAATAAAATGCTGGCAATATTACCAAAATTTTGGCAGGATTTCTTATGTATTTACCATAGTTTGATTAAAAAAACTAAATGTATGCATATCTTTGACAACTTTACCAAAAATTGTATGGTTTGAAATGGCATCAATCTGAACAGCCCCTCAGTTCAAGCATACTATATCCGGGAACAATTTTTTGACTAATCACTTGGTTCCGATGATTCTAGAAACAAAACGATCACTCCATCCTGATCAAGAAATAGGAGCAAAAATATAGCCTAGTAGTGAGTAGTGAGCACTGAGCAATACTTGATGATGACAGAACAGAGAATATGTAACACTACACAGCACTGGAAAGGCTGACCTGTACTGCTGTAGCCCTCTGCTCACTGAATGATTTTGTCACCTTATGTTTGGGCATTGTTACCACTGTCAAAGGAAGAACCTTTGCCGTGCTTCCAAGCAAGAAGCCTTGCGCTTTCTGCAGAACTCAATCTGCTACAAATCAACAAGATATGGTTGTTTCTTTTCTGCGAGAATCATGCTCTGCGCACTTTCAGTTCCTGGGGCTCTGGCTTATACCCTGCTACTGTACGGTGTACCATGTCCAGGAATTGATCCCTGAACACTCACTGGAAAAGAAGGTGTGGAAAACAGCAGATAGAACATGCATCACTGTAACACACAGTACATGGCAGGATTCAGTCAGCCTAACCGTAGACAGTTGCTGAATTGTAAGGATCCGTCTCCAGTATTATTGCCGAATTGGGTTATTTGAGAGCTAAGTTCTCAATTTAAAAATGATGCATATATTTGGTTGGATATAGAGGCCGGGTAAAAATTACCCTTATCTAAAAAAAAGTATTATTCCAGATGCCAACAATGATGAAATTTAACACATAGTATAACAAGAAGGACCATGTGTTGTCCACTTTGGCACGTCAGATCTTTATATGAAAATCTGGTGTGTAAATTATACTAGTTTGAAGTGTAAGCCCGATAGCCCATGTACCACAAACAGTCAGTAGAGACTAGAGAGGCATTCACTACATATGAACGATGGATACGTGCTTGGTGAAGAAAGAAGTACATGATGCGAAATCAGTACAAACCTTCCTGATTCGATGATAGTCAAGAGATCCTAAACCAGACATTTCTCCTCACGATCGAACATTGTTGTAGTGACTTCCTCTGAAACAAAAAAAAAAACATCAGAAAGTTCATCTCCCTAATTTGCAATTAGTTACCAATACTGCAAGGAACAGAAAGCAAACGATGTTCTTGCATCAAGGTAGCACGATGCAGTATCGTCCTTTTCCTATTCGGCGAGGACGCGCGCGTTCGATGAACCAAAGGGATCGAGCTCCCCCAAGGAAGTGTATTTGCGGATGCAATGGTCCAAATTCCGCCCACGCGCAAGTAGGCGCATGGATCTCTAGAATCTCCGATAGGGTTGGAAAGTGGGAAGCGATATCGTCGGTGGCGCTTACCTCGGCGGCGGCGGTAGTGAGGAACAAAAAGCCGAAGCAGTCGCGGCGGCAGACGCGCGCGGAGGTCGGTGCGTAGTAGCCGTTGCACTGCGGGAGAAGAGGATCTAGGGTTTATGGCTGGGAGAGAGATTAGAGAGAGGATACGGTTTGAAGGAAGACGCAGAGCAAGGAACCACCTGGAGCCATTTGGAGGAAGAATCCCAACTTGGGGGGTCGTCGGATGCGGCGCCGGCGCCGGCGGTAGCCACGGTGTTCGGCGAAATGCGCGAGCGGAGTGGACGGGAGCAGGAGGAGAGAATTGTGCACTAAGACCCCTGATTTCGGTTAGATTTTTTCCTTTTGTTGAATATGGTCGCTAAAGTTTCGCTTCGGACTAAATTTAGTAGTTGAGGTTTTAAATTGTTCAACAAGTTCTCCAAGTTAATCATTTGGGTTAATATAGTTTTTGAAAAAAAAACGTTTCGTGAGTATGCCAAGTCATCCTCACATGCATCGATAATACGAATGAAATGATAATTATACCCTTATATGCCATATAGAAAAGAAAGAAGATAAATGTTTCTCACGCGTATGATCGTTTTAGAATTGTCACTTATTATTGATGCGTCCAAGCACTGATCGTATCGTATGAATTCCTTTGTCGGCCACCCTCCGTAACAATGTTGGGCCTGGACTAGCCTGTTATTTTTTTTTTGTCTGTGTCCTTTTCTTTCTTTTCTATATGGTATATAAGATAGAATGGTTATTTCATTCATACTGCTGCATGCGAGGATGACTTGGCATGCTCACGTGGCTTTTTTTTTATCCAAAGACTATATTAACCCAAATAATTAATTTGGAGGATTTGTTTGAGCGGAAACAACGAAAACTAAATTAAGCCCGAAGCGAAACTTTAAGGACTGTATTGGCTATTCACCCTTTTTTTAATTAGGCCCCCCGGTTGGTGGTTTGTAATGGTCGGAGTTTCCTCACTAGAATTTCCCTCTATTCGACCTATCACTATCTCTACTACTTTAAAAAATAAAATATATTTCCGCCCTCCGTATATAAAAAAAAGGGCGAGAAAAAAATTCTGTCGTAAAAAAAAGGAAAAAAAATGTCCGACTCCCCTAATAAAAAAAAGTCAGACTCCGGAAAAAAAACTTCTAGTCCGTTAAAAAAAGAAAAAAAAGTCCAACTCAAAGTGCGTAAAAAAAACGTTCGCCCCAAATTCTATAAATAATAAATAATAAAGTGTCTATCCATATATTTTCTCCTCTAATTAATTAAAAAATTGATTCTCTATTCTTTCCATTCCAGGGAAAAACTAAGGGACGCTATCCCGTCACAGCGGGACAGTTAACGAATATATCCTACTAAGGATGTCGTCGGCCCTACGTGATCCATCTCACATTAATTCCCACGTGGCTGGATCTCATCCCAGGCTCCCACTCAGCATGGTGTCCCTATTCTATTAGTTGCATGGTGCCTTTTGAATGATGAGAGGACACGTTGTCTAGTGAGTGGTGAGAAAGAAACAAAAGAAGTCCAATTCGTGTTAAAGTCTATGCATCTACTCTTAGATACTGCCACGGTTCTAGTTACCTTGGTAGTGGTGTTTCTTTTATTTTTTTATTCTTGGTTTATTTCTTGATCTTTTTTGTATTTTCAGTTGAAGCACATTTGGAGGTATTGATTTTGTGAAGTATTTTCCCTATAATATACTATGATAAGTTCTAATGCTCAAGTTTGACCTATCTCATTCCGTGTTTTCTATCCCGACACATCTTCAATTTGTAACCCATACTATTTCGTAATAGTAATATAAGTATCAACTCAAATACGTACCATCTTAAATTCCATGGGATACCAAATTTGATACAAGTTTTCGCTAGCTTTGAAACCTACTAGCTCTGAAACCTGTGCATACCAGATTTGATACACAAGGTATCATGCCTGATATTTATGGGTACCAAGTTTGATACCCAGGTACCATACCTGATATATATATGCACTAGCCATGATACATGCGGATATCAGATGACAAATATTAGGTCTAATACTTACGGATACCATGTTTGATACCTAGGTACCAAGCCTGATACCTATATGTATCAGATACATATAGGTATTAGATGAGTTTGATACCCAGGTACCATGCCTGATACCTACAGGCACTAGCCATGATACATGTGGATATCAGATGACAAATATCAGGTCTAATACTTACGGATACCAAGTTTGATACCTAGGTACTAGGTTTGATGCCTATAGGTACTAGGCCTGATACCTATATGTATCATCCATGATATATGTGGATATTAGATGAGTTTGATACCCAGGTACCATACTTGATACCTACAGGCACTAGCCATGATACATGTGGATATCAGATGACAAATATCAGGTCTAATACTTACGGATACCAAGTTTGATACCTAGGTACTAGGTTTGATGCCTATAGGTACTAGGCCTGATACCTATATGTATCATCCATGATACATGTGGGTATTAGATGAGTTTGATACTCAGGCACCATACCTGATACCTACAGGCACTAGCCATAATACATGTGGATATCAGATGACAAATATTAGGTCTAATACTTACGGATACCAAGTTTGATACCTAGGTACTAGGTTTGAGGCCTATAGGTACTAGGCCTGATACCTATATGTATCATCCATGATACATGTGGGTATTAGATAATAAGTATCAAGTCTGATATGCACGGGTATCAAGTATGGTACCCAGGTACTATGCCTGATACCTATAGACACTACTCATGAATCATGATACATGTCAATATCAGATGACACAAGTATCAACTTTGCTCAGATGACAACTTGTCTTATATGATCCATCTAAATTATATGAGCAATCATTAGTTGGTCCAATTAGCCAACTGATAACTGTGCATGGTTGGCGTAAAAATCCAAATTATTTAATAACAAAAATACCGGAAAAATTATATTTTACCACAAGCAAACTCATTATACAAGAATAATTTTAGTGCAGGCTACGGCCAGGGAACACTGTCCAATACTAACGCATAGGCATTAGGCATAGCTTCTAGCTAGCTAGCGATTGACACATGTAAGCTACTAGACCCTATACCAGCCGACCAGGCAAGCTACCAGACCCTATAGTGTTTCATAGTGTGTCTAGGGGCACGTCTTGTAGAGGCGTGTCTTGTTTGGATACTATACGCACATCTCGTTTAGGGGAGAGTTAAAGGGTATACCGTTGAACGGTATTCCGTTCTCTAGCAGCCCTCTTCCTTCCACATCCTTTGCCACATGATTTCCCCTTTTAATTAGGCTTTAATTTACCGGATAAAATCTTCTTTTAATGGTTGTCAATGATGGCCAACCGACAATCTTTTTTCTTTTTTATCCCAAGTATTGCAGATTCGCTCTGATTTTGGGAAAAATAAAAAGAGGAGATCAAGTGGATCAAAAGACTACAGTAAATTCTCAAAGGTTGAGTATATTTAATGGGGATGATCGGCTCTGTTATCATACGGACACAAAACTGTATTCCAGAAGTTAGGAGAGGCAGACTGGGTGAAGTGAGGTAGGATGCAAAGCTTTTTCAATTTATTCCTCAAATCCTAATAGTTATTGTATTACTGACAAAAAAAAGCCTTTACCCGTTGCAATGCACATGTAAGTTTCCATCATCTATAAAAAAAAGGAGAAAAAAATAGACCCAAAAGCGAGAAAAAACACCATTTATAAGAAAATCAGTTCGGAAAAATCACTTGATTCAACACGAGAAAAAACATCGATTATAAAAACACCGGTCCGAGAAAACATCCGACTCAACACGAGATAAAAATCGTTTTATACAAAAAAAAAAGATAAAAAGAGTCCGAATCCACACGAGAAAAGGTGGATCGAAAAAACATCTGACTCCACGTAAGGAAAAAAACGTCGTTTATAAAAAAACCGCTCTGAAAAACTGTCTGACCCAACTCGAAAAAAACCATGCGCATATAAAAAAAACCCGGTTCGGCACTGTGCAATGCAAAAAAAACTGTCTCATTCGAGGAAAAGAAAACATCCGACTCCATGAAAAATAATCATATCGTTTATATTGTTTTACGTCCATCTTGATAGCTAATATCTGTTTTGTCTAGAGTTGACCATCCGAGACAGCGTAAGATTTGATTAATCCTATTATTAGTTACAAGAATGAGATTGAAATAGTATTTCACATTATATGTGTACAACGACATAAATAATCCAATTCTTTTGGGTAAATGAGGCATAGGTAATGTTGCCTCATCGCCGAGGTTTTGCTATTTACATTGAAGATGTTTCAATTTTTCTTATCATATGTCTTAGTTACAACGATCGATACAAACATTATCATTGATATGGCTATACATGTGAAACGTATATTGTCATTAATTTTTTTTTTACCCGTTGCAACTCACGGGCAATTTTGCTAGTTAAATACCGATGATGATCTCGTTGTATTTGATGATTTCTGAAGAGTGACTAAAGCCTGAACCTTTACAACGAGGGCCAACATGAACTGTTTACATCACTCGTTCACACTGGCATGTCTAAGGGCATGTTTGGGGGAGCTTCGCACCTTCTCCTATAATCTTTCATGCTGCTAAAAGTTCTCCAAAAAGTAGAAATTACCCCCTAAAGTATTGGGTGACTACAAATTACCCCCTAAACCTGAAAATAAGTTATTTTTCACCCTCAACTATCGATACTGGATGAAAAAACACCCTGAGTAGCTTTGCAAGCTGTTTTGGTCTACGTGGCAGCCCAATCACCAATTCTTTTATTTTTAAATCAGTGGGCCCCACATGTCAGTCTCTCACCCTCTCTTTTATCCCTCACCTCTCTATCACTCTCCAAAATACTCTCTCTTCTCCCTCCCTCACCAAATAACCTCGAGGATGGTGGCGGGCAGAACTCGGGGCGACGAAGGGGGCGGCGGAGCTCAGGACGATGGTGATCGGAGTGGGTGGTGGTGAAGAGGGCGCCCACAGCCACCGGCGCTCGGGACAGCGTGTGTAGGGCTCCAACCCGTTTGTTAGCGCACTATCCAACCCCGCCCGCGACGCCCCCTTCCCCGGCGGCGATGGCGTGGTGGTGGAAGCGAGCTCTTCATTAACAGCCAGATCCGGCCAATGTGGCTCCCGCCGCTCGATAACGTCGGCGGCAGCGGTGAGCCGACGCGGGAGAATGAGGCGGGGGTGGGGGACGAGCACAGCGGACGCCACCCCGCTCCGCACATGGCTGTCTCCACCGCCACAACTTCATCTTCGACCGCCCCGTCGTCGCCCTCGCCGCCGGTCATGCTGCCAGTCGCGCCGCTCTCGCCTC